CGAAAACAACCCAGGAAAGCTTCGCATAGTCTGGGATGCGGCTGCGAAGACGGAATCGCGATTGGCGGCGATATCGCCGAGCTGTTTCAACAGGTCAAGATACACACAGAAGATCAAAGATACCCACCATTTGTATTTATTTATTATCGGCGGCGATATCGCCGAGATGTTTCACCAGGTCAAGAAACACACAGAAGATCAGAGACACATATACACACAACGGAGAGAAAACTACGCCATGCTGGTAATCCCGTTTGAGGCTAGTTGCTCCCCCAGCTGTGCCCAGTACGTGAAGAACAGAAATGCCGACATGTATACGACATGCTGGACAGCGTCGACACGGAGGAAGAAGCCATAAGCCTCGCGCGTCGGGTCCACTACATTCATCTTCAGGGGGGATTCCTCATTCGAAACCGGGTATCGAGAATCCAGAGAAGTACTAAGCGCATTCGGCGAAGGAGCACCCACGCTAGTAAAACTAGACGAAACAACGGATGGACAGACCGAGAAGGTGCTGGGAATGTGGTGGGACACGAAAGAAGATCTCATCCGCTACCGTGTATCCCCACGATATCGCCATAGAGAACCTTTTCTAAAAAAATAATATTTCAGGAAATTTTTATTTTTTTTTTTTATTATCAATCAATCAATAGTTATATTTAAAATCTTTCGGGAGTTATGGACAATAATTAAATTTTATAATGGGACCTTAACTTAATGAAATATTGAGTAGTACAATGTTTGCTTATCCTAGGAAACTAATTTTAACAGTAGACCTTAGCGATAGAATTCAAGTTAATTATTGTCGGGCCCTTTAGTGGGCCTTGTTGGTTTTACAACTGCAGCTCAGTCCCGTTCGCCCGAGTGGCAGAGGTCCAGTGGGTGGGTCCGTTTCAGCCTCCTTGTGGTGTAGCTGTTGTCCAGAAGATTGATGGCCTCAGTCTTAATGAATGAAATTTTCCATTAAGGTCCCACGTTGGGCGCCATTTTCTTTAATAATAATAATAAATTATAACTGTAATGTGCAACGGGTATAGAGTGGTTGAAATCGTAGAGTCTGTACTAGCGGGTCACGCTATGGAGTCCGGCTTCTGCTCGTCGGCTTTGGGGGTGGTGGTCTTGCTTGGACAGACTCTATCACTCACTACATATTATTATTACTAAATCTAGAAATGTTTAGGGAAGACTGACCCGGAAGAGTTCGGAGGAATAAATTCGGAAGGAAAGAAAGAACGGACAGACTAAAAGAAGACTAACTTTTGGCAAGACACTGGTGGTGTTGTGCTTGCGAATTGCCCACCCTACCTATGATCACCGGCCGCTAGAGCATTGCTCTGGTGATCCCTTTAACACCCTACATCCGGGCTGAGTTCAGTCCCTTGAAGTTTTAAACCCTCATGGTTTTATTCTTTAAATACGAAAATTAACTTTTCATCCTTTACTTTTAGAAATAATTAGAAATATAAGAAATGCCATTCTAAATGTATAATAATGAGTATATATAATAATTCAAAAGGACTTAACATAATAATACTTGTTTTTAAAAGATAATTAAACTTTAACAGTTTAAATATTTAATCTTTTAAATTCTTCAAGAATCAATTCAGTTTTCAAATCGTGCCAATGGATACTAATGGTTTTAAGTTTTACTTTACATTTAATATATTAACTTATTTAATGGAAATTCAAAAATAGATAGAAAATTAAATACTTGTAAAAATAATAAGCTGGCAGTTACTACTGGGATTTATTTTTATAAAGTAGCCAAAGTAATTAAAGGCCATAAAAACTTGGGGTAACTCACAGATTTTTAGTCCAACGACGAAAGATCTATCCTTCTCGGTGGAGTGGCTGAAACAAATGCAGCGCTTGGCTAGCTGCCATAGTTACTAGTAAATCGGGGAATAATGGCTGACTTTATAAAATATATAAATAAACCCAGTGGACAACCTGTTCCTTACATAAAAAGCACTTAACTTAATATTAGCTCTTGTTTTAGTCTCATTAATGTAGATTTAATTGAATTACTGATTTAAGCAAATAATAAGCAAATTAAATGTGAATTAAAAATGGCTGGTTCAAACCGAGTGGCAGAAGGCCCTCAAATGAAAACTTTTCGAATTTAGAGCCACTAAAACAAAATTTAAATACTAGATTCTTCGTCTTATAATTGGGAGTCGCGGCCACTCAGGATAGAAATAGTGATTTTTTATTAAGTAGAAACTACTAATTGCTGCATGTTGCTGTAGGGAGAGTGGCATGACCCGGAGAGAGTGACATAACAGGTCACGTGAAAGTGAGGTTTTGCACGAGCACTCACGGTGAGGTCTATGACCTGGGCCAACAAGAGAAATGGCGGCGCAGCCTGTCTCCGTTACTCGGAAAACTTTCTTGAGCCTATAATTGCACTAAAACTTATGATTTTTTCCGCATATCTCGAACGTTTGGGTCTATATACGCATTCTTAGTTGCGGTCCGCCAGGCTTTATACAAATTTCCAGCACTCTCCCGCCTGGGGCACTATCTAACGATACGCCGCAACAAAGGCTGTCCGGGAGAACGTCCCCTCTTGGCCAACGGTCCGTGGTGAGTTTGCTCGCAGTGAGGTTGTACACGACCTTTCGTACAATATTTTGGCCCGACCTGAGCCAATAAAGGACAATAGTCCTCAATATTAATTCGTGAACAAAAGTGTCTGTCCTCTGCAACTAAAACCAATACGATAATTAAACAACCGCACCGCGCTGGCACAACTAAACTTACACACACACACGGCAGCTCGGAACTTTTAAGTCCGGCTAACAAAATTTGTATCGATTATCTGTCGGTAGGTGATGCTCACTTTGTGGGTAGGGAGTTCTATCCTAGCGACACTGTTTTTACTTCCTTCTGGGTGTGTGGTCCAATTGGGAAAAAAATTCCAATTCAATATTCAAAAAAAATGTGCCGACGGCTTAGAAAAAAATTGCAACTGCATTAACAGCTTCATTCGCGACCACGCCTAACAACACTTTTTCTCAGCTCATAATACCATAGATAGTTTAAAAAAAAATACCAAATATTAGTAAATGACTATCGCTACTATTACTACAAAAATAGTAGTAAAAAATAGCGCCACATCATTCAGCTTTTGTCCGAATGAATTTAGTTGTTTGAACTTCGGCCAAAGTAAGCAAACCCGTCTTCGGTCCCGGTACAAAGCGCCCCCGGAAGAAGCAGGCTAGGGTATAATCTCATATAGACTGATAACGACTGAAGACAGGTTACTAACGAATGTCTTTGGAGTGGTAAGTACCGACCAGTACTCCCTGTAGGTCTTCTAATTCGTAGTAGGTATGTACTACTTTCTTTCGGACTGTGGCCTTTACAAATGATGCACCAAATTTCGCATTGTACCCCGTTTTAAAATAACTTTGCTTAAAATTCCTTCTATATACCTCCTGACCAACTGAAAAGGATACTTCTCGTGATCGGAGATTGTATCTCTTCTCATTTTCGTTGTGCTTTTCTAAAATTCACTTACTTGCCTTTTCTCGCACAAGGTCAAAGGAATCTGAGCGATTGAACTTTAATGAACGGTCGGCTAACAAGTTCAATTTCCTTAAAAGAGAATACGGTTCCCGAGGTAACCAGATTTTGCCCAAACACTATGTAATATGGGGATGTACCTATACTATCATGCACCGATGATCTCAGCGCACAACTAATTTTTTTTAAGTTTTCATCCCAATCTTTCTGATCCGGATGAATAAAGGCTCGGATGAATATAGGTTAGCCTGTGGCGAATGCACAGCGGTGAGTGTATGCCTAACCCCATTGTTACGATAGATAGCAAAACTGCTCCCGAGGCATCCGGCAACGCCCAAGTTGCAGAACCGATAGTTTAAGCGGGTGTTGAATCTCTGTTAACTCAGCCGGTAACCATGTGCCTAAGCTTTCTTTTCTATTTGACACTCGAGGGAAGCGGACGAAAAGTGAGAACATATTAAGATTTAAGATTTGATTATGAATTGTACCACCATTACTTTATTGGAATTTAAAGTGCTGCTATCACTGCTTAACAAATGAAGAAAACAACAAACAATTATCAGCATCTACACGGGCGTCTTTACTCGGGCGGCGCTAAAAAACTTCGAATTCCCGCAACATGTCTTTAAATTCTTTTCTGGTATATTCTTGGAGAATACTGCAATCAGAGAGCGAAATCAACATGGAGATGCCTACTGGATCCGGTGGAGAGTCAAGATTGGTGGCGACATGCTTCCTCTGTGAAGTGGAGGACGAGCACGTGACAGTTGGCTGTATCGGCGCCGGCTGCGTGAGCATGTGCCATCCTAAGTGTGCTGCTCTAGAGGATGGCGGCGTAGGATGGATCTGTGCAGAGTGTGACGTAGACGTCCATGCACAGAACTCGACGTTGATCAGGACAGAAAAGCTGACCTGCCTGACGGCTGGGGACACGCTCCCAAGGGAGAGGCTATCGGAGACTGCCACGCAGAAAAGATGCCTGGAGCATCTAGTACACGGTACCGAAATGCTGGTACGGACACAATTGGTGAAGTTGCCGTTGTGGAAGGAAACGGCAGTACGCAGAGAGCCCACGCTGGGCCCCCATGGTTCTTCTCTACCACTGGGGAGAACCACTTAGCTGATAGGGTCAATAAACCTGTGGGCAGACCATCGTACGAACAATTGACAGTGAGGAAGACTAGCCTGGCTGAGTTGGTGAAGTTTTCCGGAAGGCCGGAGGACTGGCCCTTATTCATCGAAACGTATGAACAGACGACGGAGCTATGCGGATTCACGGATGCCGAGAACCTAATGCGACTTCGGCATGCGTTGGAAGGACCAGCCAAGAACGCAGTACAAAGTCTAATGCTGCATGCGGACTGTGTTCCGCAGATAATCGCCACGCTAAGAATGCGATTTGGGCGAATTTCATTGACTTGTTAGTGACAAGGATTAGACAATTCCCTTAAATGAGAGAGAATAAGCTTGAAATGCTGGTTGACTTCTCGGTGGAGGTGCAAAATGTTTGTGCTACGATGAAAGCCTCCAAGTTGGACCAGTACCTGAACAACCCAGCGCTCACGCAGGAGCTAGTGAGCAAGTTGCCATCGATGGTGGAATGCACAAGGTTTTGGGGAATGCACAAGGCCTCTCTAACAGTGTGTACGTTAGCAGAGTTTAGTACGTGGCTATCGCAGATGGCAGAAGGAGCGAGCCATGTGATAGTCCCAAGCTCTTCGTCAAGAACGGAGAGAAGGGGGACGGTACATACACATACTGTTCGCCAAGGCTGTCGGCTGTGCACCCGAAATTGCAGAACCCTGCGGGAGCATTCCTCGAAATGACGACCCGCGATCGCTGGAATGCTACTCGACGGTGTGGCTTGTGCTGGAGATGTTTCCAGAGCCACAAGGTAGAAAGATGCGGCGTCCCAAATCCTTGCGGAATAGATGGATGCCTAGAACGCCATCATCCCCTGTTGCATCGCGACTTCACGGCTCCCGTCCAGGTGCCATGCACACCGACAAGAAGGTGTGGAAATGCTATTCAGTGACTTTGGAAATACGTGTTGACTTGCCAACACGTATGCCTTCATCGACGACGGGTCATCTCTAACCTTGATCGACGCCCCATTGCTAGAAGACCTTGGAGTGAAGGGACAACCGCAGCCTCTATGTATGCAGTGGACTGCCGGCATGCACCGGTATGAGGACACCTCGGTCAGATTCGACTTAAGGATCTCCGGCATTGGCCAAACGAAGCTATATGATCTTCGCGACGTTCACTCGGTCCAGTCTCTTGATCTTCCGTCTCAGTCGTTGGATATAACCCACCTGAAAGCACAGCACACACACCTTGGACATCTACCACTGTCCGGATGAGACTCACCACAGCCCAGGCTCCTGATAGGTCTTAATAATTGCAAACTAGGGCGCGTGCTTCGCACCAAGAAAGGCACAACAGAAGAACCGATCGCTGAGAAGACCCGCCTGGGGTGGACGATTAAAGGAAGAAGCTCCAACAGTGTGGGTGATGACATAACCCCAAACTACCACGTGTTTCACATTTTTGCATGTGAAGCTGACGAGAACATGGAGATCTTGCGCCAGTTGGCTATACAGCAGCTGGAGAAGAACACGAGGCGTATAAATGGCCGATTTGAAGCAGGTCTGCTTTGGAGGTTTAAAGATGACAAGCTGCCGGATAGTTTACCGACAGCCCTAAAGCGGGCACGATGCCTGTACCAGGAACTGACTCACGAGCCGGAGCTTGCGAAGGAAATTCGCCGACAGCTAGATGAGTACGTGAAAAAAGGATATGCACGGCCCATTACGTCGGAAGAAGCTGAGGAAAAGCCATGGTATCTACCTATCTTTCCCGTGCTAAACGTGAACAAGCCAGGAAAGCTTCGCATAGTCTGGGATGCGGCTGCGAAGACGGAAGGGATCTCGCTGAAAACAATGCTGCTGAAGGGACCTGACCAACTAGCGCAGTTGGTACCAATACTTCACAGGTTTAGAGAGAAACGTATTGCTATCGGCGGCGATATCGCCGAGATTTTTCATCAGGTCACGATACACACAAAAGATCAGAGATACCAACGCTTTGTATTTATAGACCCATACACACAACGGAGAGAGAACTACGCCATGCAGGTAATGCCGTTTGGGGCTAGTTGCTCCCCCAGCTGTGCCCAGTACGTGAAGAACAGAAATGCAGAGTCGTTCAAGAAGGAATACCCACGCGCTGTTAAGTGCATACTGGAGAATCACTATGTAGACGACATGCTGGACAGCGTCGACACGGAGGAAGAAGCTATAAGCCTCGCGCGTCAGGTCCACTACATTCATCTTCAGGGCGGATTCCTCATTCGAAACTGGGTATCGAATTCCAGAGAAGTATAAAGCGCACTCGGCGAAGGAGCACCCACGCTAGTGAGACTAGACGAAACAATGGATGGACAGACCGAGAAGGTGCTGGGAATGTGGTGGGACACGAAAGAAGATCTCATCCGCTACCGTGTATCCCCACGATATCGCCCTGGCATAGAGAACTTCTCCAAGGAAGGCAACGACCCACCAAACGAGAGTTTCTCAGTGTGTTGATGTCTATATATGATCCTTTAAGGCTCATATACTTCTACGTGATGTATGCAAAAATAATATTTCAGGAAATATGGGGAAATGTACCCCATACTTGAGGCAGAATGGATTAAATGGAAGCGATGGCTTCGGTATATCCCGGACTTTGAGAAAATGACCATCCCAAGATACCACATGCAGGAGTCGCCGATGGGTTCAGAAGTGGAGATACTTGGAACTTGTTCCAAGTGGTTCAGAAGTGGAGTTTGAGCAGTACTTGGAACGAGGTTAGCTCAAACTCTGGAGCTCTCACTTGGCGCAAAGATGAGCACACGGACATTCTGGACACACGGACATTTTCGAGGACGGTCTTGAGTTGACTACGATCGGACCAGAGGAAGTACAAACAATTTGTAGCATTCCGCGTGAACGAGATTTTAGACGGTACTAGCAGCAAGGACTGGCGCTGGGTACCTTCTTCCGAGAACGTGGCGGATGACGCCACTAAGTGGAGCAAAAGACCTGATTTCAACCGAGAAATTCGTTGCTTGAACGGGCCGACATTTCTTTGGCAAGAGAGGCAATTTTGGTCGCTGAAAGAGGCGGTAGATGGAGACGAATTAAAAATGAAATTGAAGGCGCAATTCAGCGGCGTGTGTGACGGATTTACAGACGTAGGACGCGCAACCCTCATAGACTCCGAGCGGTTCTCAACCTGGACCTGTCTGATATGGAGTACCGCGAGAACGCTATGGTGTGTGAGGCGATGGAAGGCCAAGGTTTTTCAACGATCGGACATCGAAAATCAGCCATCACAAAAAGATACTAGGGTCGCGGAGAGTCTTTTGTGGTCGTAAGCTCAGGCGGAGTACTACCAGACAGAGATAAGGCTAATTTTAAAAGGAAAACCATTAAAGAGAATACCCTACTATACAAGCTGGAACCGTATATGGATTCAGACGGTGTATTAAAGCTCGATGAATTCCCCTGCGGCAGCCACATTACGCAGCTTATCATAAAGGAATTTCACCAAAGATTTCTGCACGCTAACCACGGGACGGTCGTCAACGAATTACGACAAAAATTTTGGATACAAAAGCTGAGATCAATCGTAATCGAACTACCGAACTGAGCGGACGTGCTTTGTCCGAGCTCCGGGAAAACTTCACTTCGCTTATATTTTCGCCAATATAAGCGAAAAGACACTGAAATACAATTTATTAAAAGCGACAGACAAGCTTTTTTTATAACAGTTGTAATGTGCTAAACCAAAACTAGTGCATTGTTGGAAAAAAAAAGGAAGAGCCACGCAATGAGCTCATTGAGCAACGACCAAAAGAACGAGCGTAGAAGTTCAGTGAACCAAAGAAACGGCTTCTACTCTTACTTTTCAACCCGCGATACCGAAGTGGAAAAATCGGCGCTTAAAAGCAACCCGGCTTTACTGACCGCTGAAACCCAAAGGGCACGGTCTTGCTCACCCGCTCTGCTCACTCCGACTCCCGCGTCATGGAGTTCGCAGTGTAAAACCCCCCCTCCAATATCGGAAACAAATTTCGCACCAACAACAAGCAGCGCTACAACTTCTGCAACAACAGCGAAAACCCCTGCAACTCAAAGTACCACGACGTCAACGACTACAGCGAGTACAAAAACAACAACCTCGGAAAGTGCCAAAGCGGCAACGGCCACACAGACTGGAATGGATCGCTACATCCAAATTAAGCGCAAGCTTAGCCCGCAGAGTAATCCGGCAGGCAACAAAACAAAAATTAACCGTGTCCTGAATAACGATAATGAACCAGACAGATCCACTACTAACAGATTTGCCCTACTGGCGGAGGCTGAGGAAAACCAACCAGCCCAAGACACCGCAAAAAAACCCAAGCCCCCTCCAATCAATATTAGGGAAAAAAGCTCGAGTGCCCTGGTCAACAAAATTGCGTCGTTGATCGGGAACGGTGAAAACTTTCATGTTGTTCCGCTTATCAAAGGGAACATCCATGAAACAAAGGTGCAAACCAAGACTGAAGAGCACTTCCGAATAGTGTCAAAATATCTGGACACTGTACAGAAAAACTATTACACGTACCAGCTGAAAAGCAGTAAGGGCCTACAAGTGGTAGTAAAGGGAATAGAACCTGATGTTACCGCCGAGGAAATAAAAACCGCCCTTAAAGAAAAGGGGCTTCGCCGCCAAGAATGTTATTAACATTCTAAATAAAGATAAAAAGCCACAACCCCTCTTCAAGGTCGAGCTCGAGCCTGAAAGCAGGTCGCTGAAGAAGAACGAAGTCCACCCAATCTACAACCTGCAATATCTTTTGCATCGAAAAATCACTGTTGAAGAGCCACATAAACGTAACGGTCCAGTGCAATGCACTAATTGTCAAGAGTATGGACACACAAGGTCTTACTGCACACTTCGGGCTGTCTGTGTAGTCTGCGGGGACGCCCACAAGTCCGCTTGCTGCACTACAAACAAGGACAGTACCGTGAAGAAATGTGGAAACTGCGGAGGCAGCCATACGGCAAACTATAGAGGATGTATTGTGTATAAGGAGTTAAAGAGTCGCATGCGTCAAGCGACCGCAACGCGCAACCAAAATCCAGAATGCGTACGTTTCGTCAAAAACCACGCCAGACGTCTTCTTCGCCAAAGCTGCGAGATCCTCATTCGGTCCACTAAACACCACCAACGGCTTCTCCTATGCCGATGCTCTACGATCTGGAAGGGAAATTCCAATTCAGCCTAACTCTCAAAGCGCTCAACAGGCCCCAGAACAGCCACACAGCAAAACGGAAACTATGATGCTTACCCTCCAACAAAGTATGATGGAGCTTATGTCATTCATGAAAACGACCATGCAAACGCTTGTTCAAAACCAGAACATGGTGATACAGCTGCTCGTAGCACAACAGTCCAAATAATCTATGCAGGCGCTACGAATATCAATGTGGAACGCCAATGGTGTCTCACGGCATAAACTAGAATTGTCACAATTCTTGACCGAAAACCATATTGACGTTATGCTACTGGTGGAAACGCATCTTACAAGCAAATACAACTTTCATATAAGAGGCTACACAATCTACCGCACAGATCATCCAGATGGGAAAGCCCACGGCGGAACTGGAGTTCTAATCAGAGAACGAATTAAACACCATTTTCACAAAAGGTTTGCAACAAACTTCTTGCAGGCCACATCGATACAAATTCAGTCAAGCCACGGAATCCTTTCAATTGCTGCCGTTTACTGCCCTCCTCGCTTCTCAATCTCGGAAGGACAATTTATGGACTTCTTCAATTCACTTGGGGATCGATTTATAGCCGCAGGAGACTACAACGCCAAACATACGCACTGGGGATCACGTCTAGTGACTCCCAAAGGAAGACAATTGTACAATGCAATTATAAATGTGAAAAATAAACTGGACTACGTTTCCCCTGGAAGTCCCACATACTGGCCAACAGACTTACGAAAGCTCCCAGACCTTATTGATTTTGCAGTGACAAAAAACATACCTCGCAATCTAATAAGTGCCAAAGCAGTCTCGGACTTATCATCAGACCACTCGCCTGTGCTTCTAACGCTTCTTCAAAGCCCAGAAATAACCGAACACCCCTTCAGTCTGACGACGACAAAAACAAACTGGCTAAAATACAAAAAGTACGTGAGTGCCCACATAGAACTCGCCCCGGATTTTAACATGGAATCGGACATCGACTACACTACGAGCGCCCTGGAAGAAGTACTCGTTGCGGCAGCTAAAATCTCTACTCCTCATAGGAAAGAAGTAGACCGAAACAAACACTTCTAATCTAATCAGCAAATCGAACAGCTCGTGCGAGAAAAGAGGCGCACGCGTCGTGATTGGCAAAACAGCAGATCACCAGCTTCAAAACAACGCCTTAAGGAAGCAACCCGATCACTCGACCAGGCTCTTCACCAACAGGAAGAAAATGCACAGCTGAGGTACATCCAGAATCTCTCGCCAACAAGCACAAAGTACCCCCTGTGGAGGGCCCACCCAAATCTTAGTGCCCCAATTGAAACGACCACCCCGATAAGAAACTCTTCGGGATGCTGGGCTCGCAGCAACGAAGACCGAGCTGAAACATTCGCCACACATCTCCAAAGTGTCTTCCAGCCAAACCCAGCCTCAAATTCATTCCTCCTGCCAGTAATTCAGCCAGAGTCCTCCCCTCAGCCAGCCGCACCTCCATTCCGGCCGAACGAAATCAAAAAAGTCATAAGAGGACTTAAACCAAAAAAGGCTCCCGGTGGTGACCTATTGACCCCAAAGATGCTGATCGAACTTCCAAAATGCGCTATAGAGGTCGTCTGCAAACTATTTAATGGAATCATTAATCTTGGCTATTTCCCAAAAAAGTGGAAGAAATCCATTATTATAATGATACCGAAGCCTGGAAAAGACCACACAATTCCGTCATCATACAGACCAATAAGCCTTCTATCTTGTTTGTCTAAACTGTTTGAAAAATGCTTGTTAACTCGCATCATACCACATCTGGAAGCTTGCAATATCATCCCGGCACACCAATTTGGCTTTCGAAGAAACCATGGAACCATCGAACAAGTGAACAGATTAACATCCGAAATACGCTCAGCCTTCAAACAACGAGAATACTGCAGCGCTATTTTCCTCGACGTATCTCAAGCTTTCGACCGAGTTTGGCTCATCGGACTCATGCACAAAATTAAAACGTATTTGCCAACATACACCCACAAGCTACTGGAATCATACCTCTTCAATAGGGTATTCTCAGTGAGATGCAACGCAGCTACTTCGGGCGACTA